TTTCATCTATTTCCAGACATATGTTGCAATTATTTTTATCTGAATGTTGCATATGTTTCACACATATGTTACAAACAGTATGTTCCAAGATGTTGCAGTTGTTTCAGTCTTATATTGCAGCAAGTGGTTTCATGTTGCAAGTTTCGAGTGTTATTTTTTGGATGTTTCATGTGTTCCACACATGTTGAAAGTGCATGTTTCAAGTGTTTCATCTGTTTTCAGACGTATGTTGCATTCAAATTTTTTTCATATTACAAGTGTTTTATGTTGTTCAGCCTGGGACGAGCCGGGGGGGCAAGAGGACTGTGCGCTCAGTGGCCGGGGGGGCTGCAGACGGGGACGCTGGGGTGGGGCGGACGGGTGCTCCGGTCGGGGGCACGCTGGGTCTTGGCTCTCGAGTGCCGTCCGCGCGGAGAGAGAAGAGCTGGTCTAGAGAATGAGCGGCGAACGCAGATACGGGAGCGGAGTACGCGCGTGGGCCGGGCGGGGCAAATCCGAACCAGGGTGGGGCGATGGTGGACTGGGGTGGGCTGTGCGGGCGTCCGGACTCGTGCGCCCGTTCGGAGTCCGAGCGCTAGCCACGCCGCTGCAAAATCTCTTGCTGCTGGGTACTGTAGATTGCAGGCCAAATGTTAGCAGATCCACTCGAGCAAGGAAAACCAAATATGTGGAAGAAAATATGTACAAGTACTCCCTCGGCAACTTGCAGTTTGACATTACGTGCTGTCCAACGTTATGTCATGACCGTTAATATCTGTCTATCCATCATATTTATAATATATGGTTTTATGATGATCTAATGATCTAGATTTACATATATTCGTCAAGAGGACCTAAAAGTTACGAGATTAATTAAAACATATGTTCTATTAGATTTTATGATGATCTAGGCCCCGTTCGCTTCGCTGAAAAAAATAAGTCGAAATACTGTTCTGGCTGATTTGTTGTGAAAGAAAAACACTGTTCCGGCTGAAAAAATAAGCTGAAAAAGACGGATTATAAGAGAAGTGAACAGGACCCTAATGGGTAAAAAACTCGACTCGTGGGGGTAAGACAGCCCCCGGCCATTATGCTTAAAAAGAAGACCTTCTCACGCAGGTCGAGAAAACCTCCGAACCTCTGTCTCAGTCATACATAGTGATACCACAGCTCTCGTGAGACTGGGCTAGTCTTAGACCTGTGCTTTGGCGTGGGACACACGAGGGGATTTTTTTCAACGCGCGGATAAACCGCGTCTCCTCCGGCCAACAAATCCACCCCCGAGGGGGTTCGAACTCTGACCGACAGGGTGCAAAGCGCACAGCTAGACCAGTTGGTCTAGCGTTCGGTTTACTAGAAATATATTACAAGATTTTTCAAAAAAAGAAAAAATCACCGTTAGATTTTTATGATGATATAATGGACAAGATTTAAAGAAAACAATTATATCACACCCTTGAATTATATGATGATGGAAGGATCTCCCTTGAATTATATGATGATCGAAGGATCTAGATTTACTAGGATTTTTATAGACTAACCACTATAAATTTGAAATTCTTCTACTATTTCAACAAACACGTCTTCAAGAAAAGTGCAAAACACATCGAGCTCAACAGAGTTCAACTAGAAAAAATACAATAAAAATTACAATGAAAAAGCAATTAAACTATGTTTTGAAGAATAATTTAGAGGTAATTGTGTCAATTTATGTAATCCTTTCATTTAAAATTATTCGTTCTCTTCAATTTTTCTAAATTTAAGATTGAACTTAAAAAGTATTTGTTTGATTTCCATACATATTAGACATTACTACTATGAATGAAGTTAGAAAATGCTCTTTTTTCTCTCAAGGGGCGAAGACTGCCTGTTGATTCTAGTATAACGGTCACTATAAAAAGATATAGTAAAAACTAAATAAAAAGAAGGTAGAACAGGTAAAAGTAAATTACAGAGTTCAATCAATGTTACAACTATGGGAGGTATTTTCCTTAATCGAATGCACCGGAGGTATTTAAGTTGGACGGCTCGTTCGCTTCGCTGAAAAAACTAAGCCGAAACATTGTTTCGGCTGATTTGTTGTGAGAGAAAAACACTGTTCCGGCTGAAAAAACAAGTTGAAAAAGACGGATTATAAGAGAAGCGAATAGGGTAATCTAAAAATGTTATTGAACCACTTCTCATCCACACGCTGCTTCTGTGCTCTATGTCTCGCCATCTCAACCTATCTCACCGTAGACCTAAGCTTGATGACTTGCTCTTTTAAGCTTGATGACTTGCTCTTTCGACCCTTGTATTTTTGGTTGGAGAGTCTTAGCATAACTGACGACGTCAAAGAAGGGGAAGCAGACAAACATGTGTCGACTTCAATGATCGTGACTTACATTTGATAGCTTTCATGGCGATAACTTAGGGGAGAAACATGTTCCAACAACCGACATTACAACAAAGTAAAAAACATATCAGCTTTTGATATATTACGTGCAACAGGTCCTTCGATTACTCGATGCTCATGCATGAGAGGTTGACAAGCAGTACATACAGTCTTTCACTCTTTCTTTGCAAGAAGCTGATCACAAGCAAAAAATCACAACATGATCGATATCAGGATATAGTGACATGGCTAGCATGCTTGAGATGATTAACCCATTGGTTCCGTAGTTTGTTTGAAAAGGGCTTGAGGTGCCAATGAATGTTGGTACAATGACGAAGTTGGCCGGTAGTTGGTTGAGATAGAAGTACGTCCAACAGACATATGTAGGATTATGATAAATTTGATGATAGTTTAGGGTAAAAAAAAGGCAACTATGGATTTAAAAGATGAGGCAAAAGATGATTGAATAATCTAAATCTAAATATGTAAAAGGTCCAAGGAATTGAATAATTTGTTAGAGACTTGGATAGTAGTTTTATCGAGGAATGGAGCTCACAAAGAGAAACTAAAGGACATCTTGATTTGGCCTCAGTACAAAATTGCACGGGCCAGCTACCAGCTTCTTAAGGCATCAATACCTCTAGCAAACTGCAGACATGAGCAACATGATGATGAATTCAATGATGCTTTAGGGGGGCAGGGTCAGGGAGGAGGCAACTGCGGATTCACAGGCGAAGGAACAAGATAACCGACAATTTAAATAAGAGCTAAGAGGAACCTATATAAATAAATAAAACTTGAACTACGGTTTTATTGAGGAATTTACCTCATCAAGAGAAAACTAAACGCTAACTTGATTTCACAACGACAAAAATTGCACTCTCATGGAGTAGGTGTGGGACAAAAGGAAGGAACAAAAGATAACATTAAGCCAAGAAATTAATGTATATGGAACTCGTGCCAATTGATACAGTAAAAACAGAGGACGCATAGTTCCAACCCAATAATAAATAAATGAACTTTAAAAAATATTTTCAAACAAAAAAGATCAAAACTAAAACAGAAAAACTAATTACCCATGCTATTTTACGGGTCCATGGCTAGCTTCATATGTTATATTGTTTATTATTGTTGTTTATTATATATAAGATCCCCTTTGGCACGGTTGCAACTTCTTGTGCCTGCTTGCCAAGAGGCCTGCCAAACGGACATTAAAAACGGTTCTTATAAAGAGTTCGGAGCAGTTAGAGTTGTTTTCTTACAAAGAAGCCAATTGTTTTTGTTTGTTTGTTTGTTTGTTATTTTATTTTTTACAAAGAAGCCAGAGCAAGAAAATATGGTCTCTCCTGGCTCCTCTCTCATAAACTCCTGCCATTAGAACCATTTTTGCAAAACGTTTCCCAAATCTGCTTTAGCTCCACTAAAACAAAGCTGCTCCACAAGAGAAGTTGGAGCTAGGGCCCTCTTAAGAGAAGAGCTCCACCAAACTAGCTCTAACTATAAAATAAACATCCCATGAAATATAAAAGTACTTTTAAACATGAATTCAACGATACTAAATTCGTATAACATGGTTCACAAATTCTTAAGGCGTTTAGGTAATCGTTAGAAAATGAATAGTCTTGAATCTTTGGTTGTGTGTGCAAGCTATTTTTAAGTTCCCAAAAACTTTCAGATAGTCATCACAGATAGTCTTCAGATTAGTTGCATATCATAGCGCTTTTACTAATGGGATGCAGTTTATAATGCAGTTTCTCGCACAAGAATTCCCATCCTGCAATAATGCCTAATTTTATCAAGGTTGAAGGCCGTGTTCGGCAGGACTGAAAAATACTATTTCGGCTGATTGTTGTGAGAGAAAAATACTGTTCTGACAGAACGTGAATGGTGATTTTATGAGGTAGCTGGCCAGCCAGCAATCAGCCAGCCAGCCAGCCGAACACGGCCGAAGCTAATAACAATTGACAGCACATGTCACACGTACACAGGCAACACGTAGCCGAAGGCTATCTGACAACGGATCGTAAAGAAGACGCATTCACTGCATCATGATCATAGAAAGTGACGATACACTCTCTACAAAACTTACAGCTAAACTAAGGGCTGAGTTTACATCTCATATTTACTCCTGATACTCTTTGCCCCCTAATTATCTCCATACCCTTTTACCCTAATGCCTAATCTTCACAATTTTCCACCTAAGGACCAGGCTGTACTTTTTCGAAGCCATGGCTGTACTTGGCCACCGTTGTTAGAAAGAATGGAAAAGTACCATGAAAAAACAAAAGAAAGAATGGAGTTAGCGTCAGCGTTAGCAACTCTTTACAGCTGTCAGAAGTTAGCACTGGACCCTGGGGCCGACATGGATAAAAAAAGAAGTCGGCATTCTCCAGTGAGACCTGTAATTAAAAAGAAACTAGTTAGTAATTCGGAGAAAGCGATTTCGATGTATAGGTGACGAGAAGAGATGTAAGCACAGAATACCGCAGAGGGTGTCTTGTAAAGTTTCTTTGATGCGATCACGCTGCACCCGACGGACGCCAGCGTCCATCCACGAAACTTCCCATGCCCAGAAATGGATCTAACGATCGTCCATTTGCCTCGCGAGCAGATCACAAGCACAGCACAATAGCTGCCATTCGGGATATCACCCAACGTCTCTTCCTCGTCTGCTTGCAGGCCTTGTCCTCTCTAAGGTTTGTTTAGCTTGCCGGCTTGGATTTGATGGTTTAGAGTCCTGCGGACAGTATTTTATAACCATAAATATAATGAGCTTACGAAGTTTACCAAAACTGAAAAAATATATGAAAGACAATACATTTTTGCTAGTTAATTGTGCGTTTTTGGACTTCTCTGCTTCTGCCTCTTTTTCAGCTTTTTTCTTCTCAAGCTCAGCTTGCTTCAGGTTCTCCTCATGTGCTTTTCGAAATGTTGTTACAAATGTTAAGAGGGTAGAGATTACTGCAGAAAAATAGTAACCACAGGGTAAGGAGATGCAGCGATCAAATATTTACTTGAACCAGCTAAATCCTACAGATAATAATTTAGATTGAGCTTGTTCAAATAAAACACATCTGCTTACCTTGTTCAAAGGGGCAACGAACAGGATCCTCACCAAAATACTTAATCAGTGCATCAGCCTTTTTACCCTGGAACCAAGTTTAAAATTCAACCAACGAGAAATGAATGGCACATTGCATGTGTACTATGAGCCCAAAAAAAAAAGAGAAAGAGAAAGCATACCACTTCAGAAAACAATGAAGATAACGACTGCACATCAGCTCCAGCATTGTCGGTGAACTCTTTCAGTTTCTACACAATGCAGATAATGTCAGTTTAGAAGCAATTGAGATACTAAGACACTCAATTATCCTACAGTTTCCTAGGAACACAATGCGACTTTATAATGTCAGTTTCAGCATCTAAGATAGATTAAACTGCGTATACCTTTCTTTGGAACAAACACAAAAAAAGAAAAGGTTATCTGCATGGACTAGTCACATGGATGAGAATGTATTTTAGCTTGTTTGTTGTGTTTGAACTTGTTGGCTTGCCCAGTTAAAATTAGTGAAAGCCTATCTGAGGCTCTGAGCAGTCCATGCAGCAGAGGGAATTCTTCAAACAACTAGGTCAAAAAGGACACAATTTTCAAGAAAAAAAGGCTTTCATTTGCGCAAATGCCATGTTGTGTTTTTCACTAAAACTTACTAGGACTTTGAACAGATATCAATGCTTCTACAAAACTAGGAATTGAAAATCGAGATTATTGTGTCCTGACCTCACGAAAAATTTCGGATACTGGACCATCCCTTTCTGAAGCATCATACTCAAGCTGAACCTTTTCCAGCCCTTTACTAACTGCTTGCATTTCCTCAGCCAACATTTTTAGTTGTATCTGTTAAAACATAAACAGTTAGAAGAAAGTACACATTGCAAAGACCTGTTACATTTTACACGATCTAATAGTATATCAAGGGGAAAACCAAACCTTTGATGCAGCATCTAAGCTAACAAGATCCACATAGAAGTTTAAAAGCTGTGGAGATCTTGCAGCAAGTACCTGATACCAAGAAATTGTCAGTATATATGTGTGTGAAAAATAATGTGAAAATCACTTCATATTACAGTAAATCAGACACAATCAAATTGTAAGCTATAGCAGTTCAAGAACATAGCAAGAACATCTATTAGATACTCAGGTAAAGTCAGTGTGTCATACAGTACTTGTCAAAGCTATGCAATTTCCAATGCTGTTAAACTATTGGATGAATTCATGAATCTAATTTGATTCTGGAGTGGTAGAAATTGTTAAGCATTTTATATGTATCACAATAAGGGATCAAACAGCAGTGCTTATTGCCAAGTTGCAGTTCCAGTCCTAATTCTCACTCCAGCCGTATACCAAAATTTGGATTCATCTTTAATGTTCCATAAAATGGAATGGGAGCCTGTAGAAGTGCCCTCAAACACGCACCCATTCCTATGTTTTGAAATTTATCAACTATCAACCATTTGGATTTGCATCTGTGACTCTAATGCCCAGTCTATCCCATCAAATCAATATGATCTGGTTTTACATCTGTGACTCTGTCCAACCAATGAGAAGGTTGGCATGCGATCAATACAGTATACCACTATAAGATAACAGCAGGAACAGGCCAATGGCAGGAACTGTATGATTTCTTGGGCGCGTGTACAACGGCCACTTGGGAGTTTGGGAATACACAACCCTAAAATTTTGGGTTGGGCCCTCCGAATCCGTTGACTTTGGTTGGAAAAAATGATGCCTCTCGGTCTTGGTCTAGGCTGCCAAATCCATGTCCCAAAGAATGCACAAGCTCTGTTCAATATTGCTCTCAAGACAATCATCGGCAATGGTATGTCAACCAAATTTTGGGCTGATAGGTGGCTGCAGGGCAAGACAGTTGCTGAATTGGTGCCCAACTTATTTCAATTGATCCCTAAAAGAACTGTGAAGAGGCGCACAATAGCTCAAGCACTGAATAACAGCAGCTGGGTGGCTGATATAAAAGGTGCTCTTTCTGACCAAGTGTTGACAGAATATCTACTCATTTGGGACCTGGTGGATGGGACCTTGCAACATGAGGTTGCTGATCAATATTAGTAGAAATTGACCACTTTGGGTTCCTATAGCAGCAAGTCGGCATATGCTGCCTTTTTTCAGGGGACCATCAAGTTTGCTCCCTGGAGAAAAATTTGGAAATGTTGGGTTCCTCTAAAATGCAATTTTTTTTTTTGTTTCGTGCTCTCAACAACAGGATGCTGGACTGCAGATCACCTCACCAAAAGAGGCCTCCCTCACCTAGCAACCTGCCCCTTCTGCGACCAGGCCGAAGAAAATAACCAACACATCCTCACCTCGTGTGTTTGCAAGGCAGGTCTGGAACCTTGATCTTCCAGAAATTAAAACTTTATGCAGTAAGGCTCCAGAATCTACTAGTCGCTTCTATGGCTGGTGGTGTCATACACTCATACTTTAAGAAGTGTTCCGAAGGACTTAATTCCCTAATCATCCTTGTTGCTTGGGAGCTCTAGAAGCACAAGAACGCTTGTGTTTTTGAGGGAGCTCGCCCAGACGTTCAGACCCTCTGGTGCTATGGCCCTCCAGGAGCTCCTCATAAGGTCTCTCCCCCCTGACCTTTAGGGTCTAGGTAGGTTGTGAAGGTCGCACTCCTCTCCCTTGTTCAAAAGCTAGGGTGTGTGTTGGGTTTTTGTAGGGGAAGACCTCTTGACGCCTCCCCTGTTTTTTCGTACATTTTGTACAGTCTCTTTCTCATTCTTAATGAAATGACACACAGTTCTCTGTGTTGTTTGAGAAGAAAACAAAAGGCAGATATTGAGTGCAATTGTAAAATAGGCCGGCTCCAGCAGTGCACAAACACAGTATACGCACAACCCCATAGTCTCACGGTACTAATAAACAAAAAGGCTTTGTTTAAGATTAGAAAATTGTTTCCAACCCATCTTCTAATTAAGTTTTATCCACTCTGACAAGGATCCCACAGAAGTCAGGACACATGTTGCTTGCTGGCCCACTCACTCGCCAAACGTTCCCAAATTTCAATTTTGTGATCCTAATTGAACAAATAACAGAATGCAGAACATGGGTTCCATTTAGAGTCAAACAACTAACTGGGAACCGAATGACCATCATAACAACATGTACTATATAGTACATGGACATGTGAGTACTCAAGTTTCAACAGAAGGTGAATCATACCTTACAGAGGTAGTGCATTAATGTCATCTTATTATTTGTTGCCCGGGTATCTGTAAGTTTTAGAAGACTGTCCAACCGGAAGCCAACCGCAGCACCTGTAAGCAAATATAGCCACGAAGCTGAGAACTAGCCTGATAGCACAAATAGTATTTAATCATAGAAATTCAAAGGATTCTCTAACTAGCACAGATAGTGGTCTCAAGATTCCTTGTAAGACTCAAGGAAGGTTTGAAAAAATTAATAAGCATGCATTGAAATGTTGTTCAGTAATGAAATGCAATCTGATTACAGAACATCTGGCGATCTTTATGCAAAATACAGTTCATTGCATATTGAGTTTCGAATCTATTCACTTTCATGGTTGCATGCATAGAGACAAGAACATTGGTTAAAGACAATGGTGACAAGAATACAGGTTCAAACTGAAACATTGTACACCTATTGATCGAGTAGAAGATGGAGAATATGCACCGGCTATGTAACATAGCATTATGCCATGACATCCTAAGTTCAGAAGAGATAGAGTTATAGTTTTCAAACCACAGAACAGTCCTATTTGTTCCTCGGAAAAAAAAAAAGAACAGTCCTATTTGAGTCTGGCATAGAAGCAATTTATTGTTACCTCTAGCAGTTCCCTGGTTCAGAGTATTCCCAAGGAGAAGGATTTTCTTCATTATTTCTTTCAACTTGAGAGAAGTTCGGATCTGATACAAGAGAATTCTACTTAATACATAAAATACAAAACCAATTGGAGTTTACTATGACTGATTATTAGCATACCTCATTACAAGAAGAATCTATAATATTCAAGCTTTTTCTAAGATCAGCAACTTGTGAACCAAACTGGATCTTGAAGGAGAATACTCGTAATTTCGACTCCATTCTAGGCACTTTCATCAATTCTAAGAAAAACTGCACCAGGAGAACAATAGTTTCTTGTGAACACATCTAACCATATAGTCATGTCTAACTAGTATAAAGATATGTATAACTTCAGTGCATCCAATGCTAAATGTGATCTTACATACTAATATCATTATTTTTTTTCCTACTGTAACGAGCATAGAAACCATATGCAGTTAGGTAGTTAACAAAATGTAGCCATTACCTGTTCACATTTCCCAAGATTTTGTTTGTCTCCGGTGTAATTCTGACAAAAAAAATAAGAAGGTAAATTTTAGAAAATGAGGTCACCATGCTAGTAAAGCAACAATCTCGTATTGTGCACCTTTAGAAGCTCCATTTCTTCTTTCGTAGGACAGAACTTTATGAGATTCTCCACTTGATCAACATCTAGGGTAGATTGATCTAGGGCGAGAGCTGCACTCTGGAGAAATCAATTATTGGCAACATGTCAGAAATTATAAAATAATGAGACACCTTATCTTGTGTACCGTCCTCAATTCTTACCACCAAATCCGAGAGTGGCATCTTAACTTTTGTCAGCATGATCTCTGTGTTGTTTGCCCTCCTCAACTCAATCTATTCACATTTTAAGTGTTAGAATAAACAAGATCTCAAAGAAAAATGGTGAAAATATTAAATAATTGAAACTTTGCACCATAGTATTTATAATTTAGAAAGGAGAAAAACATTTTGGGTATAAGTAGAGTCACCAGAAACTCTGAATTAGAGATGTATTAGTAGTTCACCATGTTCAAATTATAAGGCATGTAATTTGATGTTAACTATTAATGCTTATTAACTTTGTCTACGGATCTAAATAACAACCAAAGCTTGAGTAGTCAGAATTCCAAATCCAACCAGAATATTTAGGACCAAAACTAAAAAAAAGGTTGGCTCAGGAAATAATACAGCACATTTAACATACTCATACTTCAAAAGAGTGACTTGATAACAATACTTACTAGGTGCACTTTTTCTGGTCTTGATCCAAGCGATTTTCTACGTTCAGATTTTGAGTTGTTGTCGGACTTTGGAACAGCTGCAGGAAAAAGGCTCTCAAGTTCTGATATATCGAACTCTGAAACACTGCAGGAAAAAAGTTCACACTGTTAAGTATGTCGAAAGCAACAATAAACAAACATCAGTATCAGTTAATTGCACTGATCATAATGTTCTACACGACTATGCTCTGTATGATAAAGAAAAATACCTCTGCGAGTCATCATTGCGCTGCAATTCTTCCCACAGACTACCTTGAAGGGCCCTTGTCACTTTGACCCAGTGCAATGGCTTCAACGTTGACTTGCGTGAGGCAGCAGCCCCATAAGCCGATCCCACAGGGCGTACAGCCCCACGTCCTCTGCCTAAGGATGGATTACTTCCTGGTGGTGGCGGTACACCTGGTGCTCTAGGTGGAGCTGGCGCACCTGGTGCACGTCCACCTGGTGGTGGAGGTGGAGGAGGGCCACCAAGACGCCCTCCAGGTGCAGGAGGTGGCGGAGGTCCTCTTCCACCACCTCCAGGCAGGGTTGGGGGAGGTGGAGCTCCTGGTCGCGCTCCTGGAGGAGGCGGTGGTGGTGGAGCTCCTGGTCGTGAACCTGGAGGAGGAGGAGGTGGTGGAGCTCCTGGCTGTGCACCTGGAGGAGGTGGAGGTGGAGGTGGAGGTGGAGCACTTGCACCTGGAGGGGGTGGAGGAGGTGGAGGTCCAGAGCGAGCAACTGGAGGGGGCGGAGGTGGTGGTGGACCTGCAAGTGAAACAGGAGGAGGTGGGGTGGGGTGCTCCTCGGCCTGGGGGGGAGGAGGTGGGGGTGGGGGTGCGCCTCGGCCAGGGGGAGGAGGTGGGGTGGGGTGCTCCTCGGCTGGGGGGGGGGAGGGGTGGAGGTGCTCCTCGGCCAGGAGGAGGGGGCGGGGGAGGTGGTGCTGCTGAACGTGCCATAGGAGGAGGAGGTGGTGGCGGTGGTGGAGGTGGCGGAGGAACAGAACGTGACATTGGTGGTGGTGGTGGTGGTGGCGGCGGCGGCGGCGGCGGTGGCGGAGGAGGAGCACTTGATCGTGTTATGGTGGATGGTAGTGGAGGTGGAGGTGGTGGCGGTGCAGCGATTGCATTGTTATTTAGCCTTGGAGGTGGAGGTGGAGGTATGGTAATGCCACTACCATTTATCCTTGGAGGAGGTGGTGGAGGTGGAGGTGGAGGTGGAGTATTTCCACCTACGCCTGACCTCGGGGGTGGAGGTGGGGGTGAGGGTGGGGGAGGAGGGGAAGGGGCAAAGGCCTGTTTCTGTGCTCCTGACAACCTAGGTGGAGAGGCATCTCGAGGTAAATTTGACAAACCTGTTGAAGCTAGCCCCCTGTGCATAGGCATAGAACTTGAAGAATAGTTGGTTGGAGGTGGAGGTGGAGGTGGAGGAGGTGGAGAAACCTGGCTTCTTGATGCACTTTGTAAACCTGATAACAAGGATTGTTGTGGAGACGATGGAGCAGACGGTGCAGATTTTGCTTCTCGTGTCAAGTTGTTGCCATATGGTTGTTTCAGTGATAATAAAGGTGCATCATTCACAACACTGATTTTACCATCTGTAGACATGGATTGAATAGCCAGTGCAGCTGGTGAACTGTGGTATCTAGATGGAGGGTGAGATGGCCTATGCACAGAGGTAGCATCAGATTCCTTCTTTGGTGAGATCCATCTACGTATTGTTTTTGGTTTGGCAAGCTTTGGTTGCTCTTCCGTCTTTACATTGCCTACCGCCATCTTCTTCAATATTGATGACACAGCTTTATCAGGGATTTGCCCTCGGTCATCACTTTCAAGCCTTGGACTCCTTGCCCTGGCTACTGTTCGACTTTGAGGAGGAGCTATACCAAAATCCTGTTTGTCACCAAGCCCCTCTTGCTTGGCTTTTATCTCAGTTGCTACTTCAGTGGCTGGCAAGACAACAATTCTGTCATGGACAGTGGTTTTCTTTGTAGGTATGGTTTCCTCAAGGCAAGATTCTAATCTACACCCATCCAATTTGCCATTGGCTGTATTGGAAGGTTTAGCGGTTTGAATCTTGCCACTGTTGTTGTCCAGTGAGTTCCTACTCTCAATAATTGGTTTGTCTATCTTCGCCGCAATGCTCTTTTCATTGACAACGTTTTTTACTTCCTGTATAGTATTACCATTGACAACTATAGTTTTCTCTTCATAGATCACTAGCTCATTGTCCATACTTATTGTCTTCTCAGTGATAATCTTGATATCACCGTTCTGCAACCCTTCATTTTTCGTAGTTCTCAAGTGGGTATCCCCATCTGTACATGTCAAACTTCTAGAAGAGCCAAAAGCAGTGTAGTCCAAATCAGGGTATTCCGAGATTTTTGTTTGTTCATCAGCCTGGCATTGAATTTCATCACTGCCACTTGGATCAACTGTCGTGACTAAAGTTTGTGCAATTACACCTTTCGTGTCCTCCTGACAGGTAGATCCAAACTTGTGTCCCTCTGAATCAACAGATGTAGCAACCACCTGTATATCATGCACATCACTGTTCTCTTGGCCATTAATGTTGTTTAGTTTAGCATTTGCAAGAACTTCACGGGGCTGCTGCAAACCTTCTTGGTTCTCAAAACTTGAGGTAGGTGCACTTGCCCCTTTCTCATTCATGCTACCTAAATTCTGGGAGACAACAATCTTCACACCCTCATCAGATCGGTGCTTCTCTAGGCTGCTCCTTTCTTCAGTTGCCACCCCACCATCAAATTCTGCAATGCCATCTAATGATACTCCACCATCAGTTGACTGAGTTTCTGGGTCTTTTCTTGCATCATGCCAATCCTCCTCTGCTTCATAAAACTCCTCTCCTACCGAAGCAACATCGGTCTCATCTCCATCATCAGCTACCTCCTCAACGGTAGCAGCAAGCTTGAATGAATCAGGGTCCGAAAAGTGTACCTGGATCAAAAATTGAGCTATATTTAAGATTTTTTTTTGAGAAAAAGCTATATTTAAGATTTCATGGTGCATAGATAAAGAGAAAGAAAATAAAAGGCATATAGGAAGAGGTGAGTTTAGTACCTCAGCTCGGAAGTCCCTTGGGAACTGATTATTCACATTCCAAGCAACATCAATATCATCACGATTCAGTCCAAGGATGTTTGATTGAATGAATGCAGTGTTGAACATGACCCGGAACATTGTTTCCTTGTGCTCCATGTTATCGCCAATATGGATGAATTCAAGTACCACATCTCCATGAACACGGCAGAATGCACTTAATTTTATAGGGACTTCTGCCTGCATCGCAACCATATGTCAGTAGATTTTGGATTTGGATATGAACATACAAGTAATTTAGGAGATAGTCACCTGTCCATAACGCTGAAGATGCTTCTTTGTTTTTGGCATCTCATAAAGGACCTTTGCACTCTTGTTACCAGGACTTGAGTCTTGCCCATGTACACGCAAATATGGCCTACAACCACCATCTGCGTCAAACCGTGGAACAACATGGAGAACTACTGAATCCAAGATGAGGGGTCTGCTAATAGGAGGCCATTCTGAACCACCTCCTTGTCTTGTTATATAGTGCAAATATCTCAAATGTGAAGGCTGAGGATTCAAGGGAAAGAACTGCTGTATAAAGTCCCTTCGAGCCTGCTTGTAGACCATATCTAATGTCTTCTGCTCACCAGTGTATGTTTTGCGATACAAAAGCAGTCCAGCCAACATGAATGCAAGCACTGGCCAGCCCCCTCTCTCACAATGCATCAAAAGCATGTTATGCTGCCCTTCCACTGATAGCCAATTTTCACATGATTTCAAGAAATGGTGGATCATCTCAAGCTGAAGCAACGGACATCCTTCATACTGTTGTGGGTAGTCCATTACTGTCATGTCATACTCAGATAATATATCTGAAATCTGGCTTCTTTTGTCCCCAGACCAAAAATTGGATACCATAAATGATGCATCCGGAAAAAATTCCTGTAACTGCGCAACAATGCCACTCAAGTAATCCCGGTACTCATCCTCACCCATGGAATCAGTCGAGAAGCAGCAGTCAAACACTGAAAAGGCATCCGTAGACATTTGCACAATCAGATACATATCGAGATAAAAAAAAAACAGATACATATCATTGCATTAGTCACCTAGTATTAACCAAATCAAAAGGTATATAAGCACATCAGGCTAGTACCACCACATTTCAACAATTGCACCTCATTGCAAATTTCCACACAATTCAAGTATTTGGTTCACTTTATTTCAATGGATAAGTGCACCATTATAGCTAACATGATTCAACAATTGAATTTGTGGCAGGGTAGGGTGGAGATGAACATGCCAATTTAAGACAAATGCAGTTAAATCCGAAGCTTCCTAAAGAGCAATCCAGAAACACCATCAAATTCAAAGGAGTAAAGCGATTAAAGCCAAATGCAGCTAAATCTAAGACTGCTTCCACGGCTCCAAACCCACAAACACACCAAATGGATACCCCACAATCCAATTCAAAATTTACTAAATGTAGCGGCTTATTGTCAACACTTCTGCTTCCAACTGCGCCGAAATCGAGCTCAATTAAACTCATATATTAAAAAAACACGAAAATTCCAAACCCCCAAAACCAAACAGGAGCCCAAAATCCTCCGCAGAACATGAAGCATCCCCGCGAATCTCACACTCCGCACGAACCAGCTCGACGGAGAGTGGCGAGCATTATACCGTAGACGCGCTCGGAGATCTCGAGCAGCCGATCCGGGGTCTTTTTGAGGAAGAACTTGCGGAAGAGCGCCATCCTCCCCTTCCTCCTCCCCCTCCCCCTCCCCCTCCCCCTCCTCCGCCGCCTCTCCGGCGGCGCCCGCCGAGCTGCTGTGTCTCCTCAGGCGGCCACCGATCGGCTCCGACCGGGGCGCCAAAGGCATGAGGTGGACGCGCCCGCCGCCGCCGGGGATCTCGGGATCCGCAGCTCCGCCTAGGGCTCCGCGGCGGAGCGCAGCAGCAGCAGCGAGGAGCGGTGGTGGGGATGATGGGTGGGCGTGGGAGCCCGGGAGGCGGTCGAGGTCGAGGTCGAGGCACCGTGGGATTGGGACGCCTCTTCCTCTACTTACTGCTGCCTTCTTCTCCTCGGTTAGCTTTAACTCTTCCCCTCTCTTCCTTTCGTTTTTGTATTTTCGCTTGCTGGTTTTTACTTGCCCGCTGCGGTGAACGTTTTGGTGCTGCCTTGACAGCGGTGAAGGCCGTGCGCTTCGTGACGCTCGTTTCGTCGCTCGTGTTCCACTGTCTCGCGGGTCCCGCGTCATACTAGTCCCACATGTCCGTGACGCCAGCTGCCGCGGGTGTGAATGGGATCGCGTGCGGGAGGCGGAGTGTAATGCCTTGGCGACTGTGTCGGTACGGGCGTCTCCGGATTTTCCCTTCCGGGCGACGGGAATGGGATCTCACCTGGGACTGGGAGGCCGCCCCTATGTTCGCGGTAAGTTTGGTTAAATTCATTTTTAATCACCCTGCTACTTGCTGTTTTGGGGAGGGTCACCGGTCACGTGCTGGCCGTCAATTTGTTTTCCCCTTTGCACTGCTCTCGGGGAATTTAAGCGCAGTGGCATGTCTGTCCACGGCTGTCATGAGCTCGGAGAATTTTTTTTCTGTTGTTGTTGGCATGCATGTCAACGGTTACATTTTCAGAGAGGGAAAAGTCCGGTGGAGAGAGAGCTATCTCTGCATTTTGCAATGATTAACGCAGCTCTTATTTCTTAATGATGCAATTCATTATAGGCAGGAGTACCATTTGCGTAACACAAGCTAGTACTGTACCGTCTTTCTGGTGGGATGGAGAAGGCACAATAGTCTTCTCAAGTCTACGCCCCGTTCGTTTGGGCTTGTTTAGCTGATAAGTAATGGATGAAAGTATTGTTGACTGATTTGGTGTGAAAGATAAAATACTGTTCGTTGGCTGATAAGCCATGGCTTATAAGCCAAACACGACCAAGCAAACAGGCTAATATATCATGGGCTGTTATGAAATTTTCGTCGCCAGCTATTATCCTATCGGAAAATACCTAATTTTAGGAGCTTAACATTTTTAACCAAGGTGCCATGGTACTGTGGACTGAATTTTCCGTGAGAAGAATAATGATGAGCACGATTGCGTCATTTTGCAAAGCATTCTGCGTAATTAAAAAACACGACCACTGTGGACCAGATTCAATTGAATCTCTCTCTTCGCCAAAAAAAAAAAAAAGAATCCCTCTCCAGTGATGCGTTTGCAGCCCACCACCCTTCGTTTTGTAGATGTGCAATGCAACCCCGTGCTAGTGCTGCTTCCATTCCATCTAGCAAAGCACAACTTGTGGAATTAATAAAGCACGAGAATAAAATAATTGAACGTCAACAGAAATTCACCAAACGTCCTGGACCAGCCTTCCAGCCACGCGGAGATGAAACATGAAAGATCTGCTATGCTATGCTACGCTCTCCAAAGTCCAAACCAACAGGCAACAGGCGAGAGAATTGCGATCACCATCACAGGGGAAACCAACACGTGCAAGGCAACGGGAAAGCGAGCGGAGCGCACGCCGGCCTGGCCGGACGTGGGAAAAGCGGAAAAAAGCACGCGATTTGATTGGTTTTACCACGCTGTTGTGCCTGCGCCGTTTCCGTTTGCCCTGTGGTGACGGACGGGCAGGGGCAGCCCGATGGGAACCTGTTTTGGACGGGAGGGACCGAAGGAGGCAGATGGCGACGGCTACTTTGGACGGGAGCCGGATGGCGAGACGGCACCCGATGCAACATGCAAACGTCCTCTTGGCGCCTTGGCTTGGCGGCGTCCGGAACGGTCACGTCGTGGACTCATGGTAGATACTTCCTCCGTGGCTCCATCCGAAAAAAGAATATAAGTATATGATCTGGCGTCGATCAAATTAACTCAACTTTAATTAAATTTATAGTAAATAATATTAATATTTATGTGTCTAAATAAATTTATTATACAAATATATTATATAACTAATCTAATGGTTATCATAAATGTTAATACTTTTTATATAAATTTAGTAAAAATTTAAATCTTTTGACTTCTCGAAAGCGGGAATTGCATTCTTTTTTTATGGAGAGAGTAGTTTTCATTCAGTTTTGGGGTGTACTCGTTTGCACGCCACCACCTGCCACCGCCACCCCCATGGTTGTTTGGTTAGTCGTTCAGTTTAGCAGCCACAACTTTTGCAGTGTAGATTTTTTCCACAGGCACACCTTCGAATTTTGACGCCATGGGTGTGGCACCACGCGCATATACAATATGGCGAATTGCGGCTGGTAACGAAGTACGGGGTCATGGATCTTGGCCATAGATGGTCGCGCCAAAAATGCGGCGAGTTTGTGACAGTGGCGTGTTTTCTCTGCGCCACACTCTACGATAGGATTTATGATGTAAAAAACTATGGCGAACTCATTTAAATCACCAATCAAACAAGCGCTTCGATTCTTGTAGCGAGGCACAACTATGGCATGGCGGCCTGTGGCCGTCAACCAAACAGCCTCGTAACAAGGTAACAAGGGCAGTGTGCAGTGTGTTCCGCGTCCGGGACAACAAAATGTGTGAGCACGAGTTGGGAATGGGAACTGATGAGTTCCGGAACCCAGTAATATTTTCACATACCAAATCCACCTCCAGAAAACTGGGACTCAAAAAGGATTTTGAATTTTTGATTAATCCGCTGTCGTTTTCACTGCTGGTCTGCGGTCGCTTCAGCCTAGGAATGTAACGTTCGCAGGAGATGTGCATGGAGGCAGGCAGCCAGGTCTGGGGCAAGCTTCGCCGTGCGGCACACTGGGCTCGCGCTCTCAAATCTCAATCCCCTGTGTGCATGGGATCGTCTGCACTGCGCACTGGTAGTCTGGTACCCCATCCCATCACATCGCACGCGTCTCATAAAAGCGTCACGCTTGTCATCGTGCGCTGAATCCAGCAGCGCCCTGGCTAAGAGCAGTATAATAACGTTTTTTAGCCGGTCAGGAGGAATCCACATCTGACACGAAAAAGGGCCACGTCGGAGAGAGATTATGGAGCGAGCGTTCCCATCTCGCCCGTCTGCAGCTCATGGTCAAGAAAAAATTTATTTCTCGCAGTCGTCTCCCAGCTCGCTATCGGCGAGAAGCCGACGCTTCGCTCTCCCATCTCTATCACAGCTGATGGCATGTTTATGGGCTTCTACATGTTGACATTAAATGTTTGTATTTTTATTATAGTACACCTCTCAGCCGACTCACTATACAAGTTGACTGTATGATTAGCTGTAAGTGACATGGCAGCATCTCTCAGCCGGCAGTGGGCTAAACCATTAGCCTTGCTCTAATCAGCTGCCGATTGATCACTGAAGAAATTATGCGCTTGACATAAGATTTTGCAACACTCCACCTTTTGAATGTCTTTTTCTTGTTTATAAACGATCATCTTAATGTTTTTATTAAGATATTAGGTGGAAAAAACAAGCATGTGCAGTTACCAGCACAAGCGGTCATGGGTATACTCGGAATGTACTGGAGGCCCCAGGACATTTTATATCCGCTACGGAGTATCTTGGAAACGGATCATCAGGAAACCACCAAGAACATACTTCTGCACACTGTGGCTACAGGCTACGGGGACATTCTTAGGGCTGCTTGATGTTTATTCTGCTGGCAAGATGCAAAGAAAGCCATGTCATCAAATTCTATGGCAGCAAAATTTGCTCCAACATATGGCCGTTCGCTTCACTAAAAAAACAAACCGAGATGTTGTTCCGACTGATTTGTTGTGAGAGAAAAATACTGCTCCAGCTGAAAAAAACGAATTACAAGATAAACGAACAGGCCATAATGTTTAGTCATTCTGCAAGCATGGTCCTATTGAATAATAAAATATTATCATGTGCAACAACTTTCTCCATCCATTTCTTGTTCTTCCAACATCCAAATCAAAAATATTCTTTATTTATTCTTTGCGCCGAGTGCCTCGATAAACTACGGCCCCCGTTTGGGACGGCTCCGGCTTACCCAACACTGTAGCAAAAAAGCCGGTTTTCTCTCTCCTACTTTTATGTGTCACTGTAGCACGTGTGCTGTAGCACGCGGGGAAGGCAGAAACAAATGGCTTCTCCTGCTTCGATGAACAGTGCCGATGTCAGTGAGAGAGCGAGGGGAGGAGAGAAAACCGGCTTCGCGCTAGAGTGTTGCTACAGTGTCGCGGTCAGAAAAGCCGGAGCCGGAGGAAGCCGTTCCTAAACAGGGCCGCCAGACTTGCAGATTCTAAGCTAGCACCTTTGCTCTAACAGACTTGCACATCTTCTAGCTTCTACTTCGTTCTCTCTTCCTTGCACCTCTGTAGTATACATATTGGAGCTGCTCTCATCACCTTCCACTCCAATGGTTCTTCGAGGGGAGAATTTACGTACTGTTTGGTTGGATGATTTGTAACGGCATCTGATTACGGTGGCAACTGATAACGTTAGATTCTGTTTGTTTTGCTTACTGTATACGCATCACGCCGTAAAACGATACGGGCCCAGAGAAATCCGATACCGCTCATAACTGGTCGTAAGCCCTTAATCTGTTCGCCTCATCTTCCCATCGACATCTTCATCCAGTTCTTTCCCAGCGCCGGCGCCGCCCATCCCCACTGCCTCTTCGCGTCCTAGCGTGACTCCACCCCTTCCCGTCCTCTCCTGCTTTCTCCACTACAGAACTGCGCCGCCCACGCCGCAACCCAAGGTGTTCTCATCTCGTCGAGGCTGTCTGCGCGATGATCCACTCCGCTGCCCATAA